GGTGAGACTGCTAGTAGAAGATGACTCCACTGGCTCTGTCTATAGGATTAAATTAAGCTGAGCTAGGGCAGCCTTGTCCATACTGTTCAACTGTAAGAAAGTTGTTGCTCTGGGCCAGCTAGCATTGTCCCACACAGTGTGGGTACAGTTGGGAGTTTGGTGCAGGCCAAGTAGTTTCCCTGAAAAGCATCTTTTTGGGGAGAGAGAAGGGTTGTTGCTGCAGGAATACTCAGCATGTTGTGCCAGTTGGTTTCAGGGGACGAGAATGGTTTTGATCACTAGTACAGATGTAGTTGTTGGCAGTAGGGCAAGTTGAGGAATGGCAGCCTTGCAAGCTGACTTCCCACACAGCAAAGCAATTTGAGAGATAAATCACTGGAGGCACCGTTCTCTTGGTCTGTCCAAAAAAGGTGGAATTTGGGGATAAAATAGAGAAGTCCTGTGGTTTATCATGCCATGTCTTAAGACTATGTCTTAAGGAACCTACAGCCACCCAGACAGCAAGTAGGCCAAACAGTAGCCTCCTCTTCTCTGACAGAGTTGCAACCATAATTCACCTTCTTTTGATACCCATGGATTTTTTTGTGTTTTTTTGTTTGTTTTGTTTGTTTTGATTAAAAAACCCCAAACAACCACAAAACCCCCCAAAAAAACCAAAACCAAAACAAAACAAGGATGCCATTTATTTGTGGCAGATGAGTAATTTTGCATAGCTGTCAAAATCTGTGTCTTCATTACACAAATCTATAATGGCATTTGTTTACATATCCAACTGATGACCAGCAGTATGCTTTACTTTAGGACCCATCCCTTGCATTATCTGCAGTCTTCTCCAGGGCTATATTTCCAAATTTTATGTTTTCCTCCTCTGCCAGTCAATCACATCTGTTTCTCCCTCTGTGGCATGTGAATTGGGTAACAGGGAGGGGCTGCAGGTTTTAATCTGTAAATGTGTGAAAGGCAAATTCTTTTCTGAAAGTAAACAATATCATAACCAAAAGACTGAGGGTTTGGCCCAGATTAATTAAAAAAATACACGTTTCTTGCATTACTCTGCAATCTGTCTACCATTTCTCTTATTGATGTCGCATGTCATTTGCCTGTGTGCAATTTTAGCCTTGGAATTAATGCTAAGTTCTGTTCAGTACGTCACCAAATGCCTTTCAGGACTCTTGCCAAAAATATTCTCTTTCCTCTCCAAAAATGACCTGGAGACTCTAATTCATTGACTTACAGCATCTAGCCTTGACTACTGTAATTCCTTGGTTTGCTGGGCTTGGAGCCAAATCGATTGGCAGACTCCAGCTTAGTCAGAATTCAGCAACAAGGCTTCTGACCCAAACCACGCCAACTCTATATCCTCCCTGTGCTGCAAATCTATATTTCAAAAGCATGTTATACATTTACTGTAACAGTTTCCTTTACACTGTAATTTTATGGGTGGAATTTTTCTTTTACCCTGCATGTCAACTGTCACACTCTTACAGAATTTTTCTGAGCTAAATTGCCATATATTCTACTCTTGCACTTACAGTAATTTAGTGCAAAGCCCTTTTCATCCTGTATTCCTAATTGGTAGAATTTGGAGTGAAATTCTACATGAAATCTGATTATTTTATCTGCCAGTGAAGGCTTTTGTTTTTATTTTAACACATTGTGTTTCAGTTTCTATTTGTTTCTTTTTTATTGAAAGTCATTATAAAACATTTGGTTGCTGGTGTTCTTTATTATTGCATACAAAAAATTAAAAGTAATCATGTATGCATGGCAGCTGATAATGTAATAAGCAAAGGAAGAATGGAGTACTTCTTGTCTCCTGAACCCAAGGACAAATTTCAGCCTTCACTCAATCATGTATTTAAAATAGCCTGCTTAATAAATATAATGGAGGGTAAAAGTGTTCTCTCTACCTCTTAATCTACAGATGAGGCTATACTTTGGTTCTCATTTATTTCTGTTCTTCTCTGGTTGTATAATTTTCAAATAACCTGTATCAAATACTCTCTTGCCCTGGAGATATTCTAGTTTTCGCTTTAGTCCAATTTTGTATGCAACTTCTGTAGGCATTGTTTAAGGGATTTTTTGTTGTTGTTGTTGTTCTTAGTTTTTCTGATTGTTTTTACATTTATACTTGGTAACAATACCCTATTCTGGTAGCATGTTTTATGGCAACAGAAACTGAAGTTTAAACTTTCTTTTAATATGCTTACGATTAACTGGCACCTCTAGTAAAGTATATTGTAGTTACACTGCATTTGTTAAACATTGACACTTGCATATCACTCTAGGCTTAGTTGTTTGGGTCTTTTTAGTTATTTATAACTCAGCAGTAAAACAATTAGATAATAATCCTTTGTCTGAAACATGCCGCATAAATTACCAGCTGCAGAATAAGTCATTAGGAAAGATGCAATTATTTACACCCTGTAAGTTATATTGATAGGAAAAACAATGATGTGATATGGACCCTTCCAAAACAATGCAGTCTTTTAAACCCTAATTTAGTAAAGAAACAGCTTTGCATTTGGTCAATGAAAATTTGATGCAGTGTAGAACTTATGAACAGATGTTTGACAGTGAATATTTCATGTTACTTAATAATTCTACTTACCAGTCACAATTGACAGTACAGTGCATCCCAGAGTTCAAGGTGCCTTAGAGAGACAGATATGATCTATTATTTCATTTTGGAAATTTCTTTCTGAAGATCAGAAAATAGTCTGAAAACCATGGTCAGCAGCGAGACTGGGAACAACTGTTTCACACAGATTCTGCAAATATCAGCCCAAAATCTGGGGCCTCTCTTTGGCCAGACATGGAGGAAAAATGAGTTAACTGGAGAGTTTCTCAGGTAATTTAAACTCTTCTGGCTTCCCCTTAGAGATGAGTCTACCATCCTTATGGGCTGTGTGCTGCTGGATCACTTAACCATACACATTTGATCCTGATCAGGGGTGGGTACATTATGTCTTGTCTTCCAGTTACACAGAGCACAAGAGTTATACCAGCTTTAGGCTTCCAGGGTGTCTGTGGGAGAACAAATGAATCTTGATGCAAGATGAATTAACCTATGAACAAATATGAACTGGCAGAACAGGTTTATATTGGGTGGTCATCTCATGACACATAAATGCAGGATTTTGATGCAGTACAAAAAGATGTGAAACCACTTTCCTGTATTGTCAAACCATGGTCTTGGCTGGTCTTTAGCTCTAATGTAATACTTGGAGACCTTTTATGTTGGGTGTTACCTATGGATGTTTGCAACACTTCATAGCCTAGATTGTTGTGTATATTGAAAATGCTGTATGTACATTGACACTTTCTTTGAATAGAGTAATGGGATGTTGATCTCTGATATGTACTTACTTAATATTCTCCTCTATATTTCCCTTTTTTATTATCCCTATCTGCCTATTGCATAAAGTTTCGTTAAATGCCTTGATTTTTTAGCATCTAATACTCATAGTATCCTACCTCCTTTAGTTTTTTTGGTTCCTGAAAGTTAGGTAAATGAAGGAGATCCTTTTTGTGTTCACGATGTTTACTGCAGTTACACAAGAAAAACTCTTAGAAATCTTCCTAACTTGTGTTTCCGTTTAGGAGTTTCTGAAATGATCAGATAATGACTTTTGATAAATCTTAGGACCTGTTCACAGAATGGAAATGAAACACTTTAAAGTTCAATGTTTTTCAAAATTCAGATGATCTTATTAAGACCTATTAGTAGAAAATGGCAAACCAGCTCTTCCTCATGTCTTTGTGAATCTTTTCTACTTGAATTTCCACTTGCAAACTAAAAACAGATTGTTAATTAAGCAAGATTTTCTGAGCACCTGGGTCATCAAACACAACAATAGTAATTAAATTCTAGCCTCAGTTTCTATACACATAACAATAGAGTGCTTTAGCATTTTCATTCTTTTCAAATTATTTGAATAAATATACACAGCATCCACCCTTCACTCCAAGCAAGTTCTCATAGGCTGAATTTATCACATCTGCTATTAAAACTTGAACGGATCACAAATGGATCGGATCATCTCAGTAGTTTTGAGGCACCTTCTTTAGTATAAACAACATATAAGTATTAATTTTAAAAGACTACATTTATTTTCTGTGGCTTTAGAAGTTAACTAACTAACCCTGATAATTGCAAAGAAAAACCTCCGTATGTGATTCAAAATATTGTAATCTTCCTGAAACTGAAAGCAGCCTGCAAAAGGGGTAAAAAAAGAGAATAGAAGAAATGTGCTTCTATTCATGTGAGTGAGGTTAGCGTTTAGATCTAGAGGTGAAAGATACATAACTGACTCACTAGGTGAGCTCACCATTTTAGGAAAGATAGGTTGTTATGTATAATGAGATCCTCTACATCTGTGACTTGTGGGGAGAAGGAGAGCAGCTATTGATCAGCTTGTTGAAAGACCAGATCAGAGGGCATTGTAGCACTCCTGCCATCATTTCTCAATGAAAGAGAAGGGAGGGAGGTGCTGCAAGCTGCAACTTTACAAAATGGTGGACATCATTTCAGCCCAGGAATCTAAAGAGGTAAATAGCCAAGATCCTTGTCAAAGAGTGAAAGCATTTTTCAATTCAGCTTCATGGGTTGGCACAGCTGCTCACTCAGGAGGACAGCCCAGGTCATTTATAGAAAATCTGGATTTCTCGGTGGTCCTTCAGTTATCTGTACTGGGATCAAAGCAACTTACATCTTGGCCAAACCATGTTTCGGCAGGTCACTCTTATGGACGGACAACGTTGCTTGTAACTGATGCAAAGAGAAAGAAAAGAGTGTTGGGAGAAAAGGTTCTGGATTAGGATGAACAAGTAGCTAAAAACTTAAGGATCTTAATTGTCCTAGATAATTGACCTAAACATTGATTTCTGGGTTCAGAACAAATTCATTCAAGTTGAAAAAGGCAAGCCCATTTCACATCTCTTCTTCATCTTATATGCACAAAAATGCAACTGTTCATGTACATAAACATACATAGGCCATGGACACAGGACAGAATGATCTACCAAAGGTGAGCCCATTTATATTAAGTAAAAGAAATGCAACAGCTGCAGCTACAGAACGCAGCAGTAATGTATGGTTTAGCCTTTCATGTCTGCTGACAAATTCCCGCTATCGGATAGTCACCATTCGAAGCAGAGCCTGCTTGTCTTTCACGCTTTCATTTGTACAGCCTGCTCATCTGTACACAGCTGCCGCAGGGGAACATGTGTCAGGTTTATGCCTCGAATGTCGTTTCTGTAGTCACACACCTATAGCCACACACGCAGAGGCACATGGCTGCACAGAGGGTTGTAGCAGACATCACAGGGAAGCAGCTGCATGCATCTTTTTTGGTACATAGTTGTGTAGACTAAAGTTATGGAGACAGACTTGAAGGGAGACATCTCCAACATTGATAAAATGTAAGTACAAAAGACACATCATTGGATGGATATTGATGATGTTGTTTCAGTAATGACATCATCCATAGACTCCTAGTGTCTTTGCTTTGCTTCTCTATAGTGATCACAACATAAATTGCTTGTCTTGTTTGACTTCCTTGTTCACCAAAGTTGAGCAGATTGTCGCCGTTTTCAACGCTTCTACCAGACAAAAAGCTTGGGACCATTTCTCGAAAGCCCAGCGAAAGAACATAGACATTTGGCGAAAGCATTCTGAGGTTGGTGATTTTATTATTACTTTCTATCCATCATCTCACAGCTGGATTGACACAGAACGAGTGTGATTGTAGCTGGACATAGTGTATTCAGCAATATTTATGGCTACCATTTTAGCTGTTAATCAACTGGCCATTATACGGTCTCATCTACAGTATGAATTGCTCCCATTGCTCTCATTATGATAATAGTCATTAAATAACACTGAGAGAGCAATGTGTTTTTATTTTTCATGCAAAATTTGGGAATTCATTGGAGCATTATGGTTACTATCTAAAATAATGAACTGAAGTGGTGAATTTAGGAACAGTATTTTCAACTAAGGATAGAATTAAGAATTATTTCTGAAAAATATCTTTTTAGAAGTCATCATGATCTGTTTTTAAAAGCAGTATTCTGTAGCACAGATTTATTTTTCTTGTTGTGCCGTCTTACGGTCATTATGAGATGACTTTGCCTGAAAATAAAATAGAGAATTTCTTTCCTAAGTAACGACTTAAGCATATTAAGTCCAGAATTATGACATACTCCTTCCTATTTGTTTTATGTTTATCTTTAAAAAAGTAGATACATCACTTGTATTGATTCTAAGTATCATGCTTGCAAAGAAACTAGCATAAATGTAATCGTACTACCACACAGAGTTAGCAGTGTGGGACCATGCATGTGTGACTGTCATAAGCATGAGCAGAGGAAATGGGATTCTAACTCGCCTTGCTGCGAGTGGCAGCAAAGGAAGCGCTAGACCTCATCCTGTGTTTTGGTCATCCAGCTTTCGTTTTTAATTCAGTATATACGCTATGAGCCTGTATTTTAAAAAGTAAGTACCGCTGTCTTTGTTTTCTTTCTTTCTTCTTTCTTTTTTTTTTTTTTTAAATATGAGCAACTTATATACACTTGGTTTGCCTTCATGTAGTACAGTATGTTGATTGTTACTATCACAGTCCTCTAAATGATTTTTCTCTGACTCAGAATAAAAACTTTAGAAGGTAAGGTGCACTTATTTAATTATTTTGTAGTACACTTCTAAAATAAGTGTTGTACACTTAGTTCGAGAAACACTGAAGTGCTGTGATATAAATCATTTGGATAACATTTTAAGTGCCCATTAACTAATGCAAAATTACAGCTGAATACCAATGGCACTAAATGTAACATCCACATGCATACCAAATGAATTCTTTATTATCAGTGCTAATATGGTGAATACCAAATGACTTCACAATAATGGGACACTTAAAATAAAATGTTAGCATAATTTATTGGTACAAATTGTATTTTGCATTTTGTTCACAAATATTTCATATAAGGAGTGGATAAAGCCTTTGTTCAATTGAAAGTTGGGAAGTTGGGGATTGTTGTTTGTCTTATCTTTTAGAGAAGTATGAAAATATGATTTGCTAGTAGATTATTTCAATTATATTAAGACCATCCCTTCTTAAACTAACTTTCTATAAAGGGATGTGATGTGTCATTCATTTGCTGACTTCTAAATTTTTAATAAACTGAAATGTGTAAGACTTGGACTTTACAGAAATGTTAATTCACTACTCATTTCTTCAAATATTATTGCCTTTTGTTTTTCTAAGAAGAGGACAACAAAAACAATTCAAAAACTTGCGAAGGCTCTTGCTAAATCAATATATTTTAGAAATGCCTGTTTTTCAGATGTGAAATGTGATGGAAATGTACAAAATGGCATCCTTGATCTAAATCGTATTTTCTATCCATGACATTATCTGCTAATTTTTTTAATTACCTGATCACCTTCCCTTTTTTTCTGAATTTGGGAAAGTTTTGCTAAAAACCCAAACCCAAGCAAACACTCATACACATATACATTCTCCATGGGACATTCTTGGCTTTTCTGATAAGGTAGACATTGATGCATCAAGGACATTTATCTCCTAAAGAGGGAGTAAATGTAAGCAGATGTCTGCTCGTGTGTGCAGTATACTTCCCCAGGAAAAAGTGCAGGTGGTCTTTTCCAATAAGGAATTAAGAAATGGCTCGCTAATTTCTTCCAGAGGTGCCTCTGATTGCATAAGACACTGGTTGACAATTTACCTTTTAATCACTTTTTTAAAAATTTGAAATTATTCTCTTGTAAAATGCCCACTAATTAGCTTCCTTGCCTTTGTTGGGATTAATGGACACGTTTACATTTGTCAGAATATTTGAGATCTGCCGATGAACCAAGGGCACAGCTCAAGGGAAATGCCTTCCCTTTTTTCATGCGGTCCCTCTCTGACAGCTTATTGTTAATTGCACAGAGCTGTGGTCGGACTCCTCAATGCTGTCTCCTCCTTCCACGCGACTCTTCCTTGTTTCAGAGATTTCAAACCACCTCTTTGGGAATTAAGGTCTTTGTTGGCAGAAAAATTAGCTGTCTATGGACTGAAAAGGCCTACACTAATCACAGTGCAGCATCCCCGTGTTACACCTGACAGGATTATTAGGACAAAATAGAGTCCTCTCAATCTTCTCAGTGCTGCCATTAAAAAGCCAGCCACTACACCCGCGCCGGCTTTTCTACCCAGAACAAAGACCGTCTAGACTCCCACAAAGCCCGTGTGTCTGCTGACCGTTTACCTAGTGAGCTGTGCAGGGGCTCCCTGCCGGCATGCCTGCCCTGGCGGTCGTCGCCCAGAGACCAGGCTGTCCGTGCTGGCACTCGTTTTGGATCAGGATGCAGAGATTTTCAGGACAGTGTTATGGGGCTGGGTCTTTTAAATCTGAGGCAATCTGGGCATAGGGACAGAGGGTGAGAATTTTTTGCTTAGCATTAGGCACCTACAGTATAGAGCACTCCATCTGCACTGGCTGCTCTCAGCTCCCTTTACCATCAGCAGAGAGAACTAGGCACTTTTAGGGTGAAGTTAATGTGACTTTGTTCAATGGAGTCACCCTACATTTGGCTGGATGAATCCTAGCCCAAGTGGCAGATAGAAGCAAGAATTATCTATATGTTAAGCAAGCTGACAATCTCTGTATCAGTCAGCTTTGTACACAATTTTAAGCATTATGTCTGCTGTTAAAGCATTCTCCTATGTTTAGCAGAACTAAAAATCACTTGACGTGGAGACTCACTTTCTCACTTTCTCTCTTGTTTTCCCTGAGTGTTACCTTCGATAAACTCTGTTTTTTCACAGGAAGAATTCCCTGTGCTACTGTTGCTATAAATACTCATATACAAATAAATATGATTACAATGATAAATGATGTATAATTAAAATCAAAGCAGTATTAAAAACAGATAGGAAATAATACGTAATGACTTTATGGAAGTTAATACTGACAAAAGGTCATTTTGGGTTTTAGGAGCTCCGGAATGCTCACAGTGAACAGCTTATGGGAATCCGCCGGGAAGAGGAGATGGAAATGTCCGATGATGACAGTGGTGACAATCCCAGTAAAAAGCTGAGAGTAGATGATTCAGGTAAAGCCAAATCCCTCTATAATGTCAAGTATATACAACCTGTTTTTTTAAAACCAAACAAAAACTTACATATGAGAAGTGACATATTAATAGCTGATTATATAAGACAGTATCTTATTTTAAACCCTCATAAATTAGTTATTTGAATGATGCAAGCTGTCTCTAGGAGGTGTCTGTCACCTACTATGATCTATAATAATGAAAATTCTCCAGTTCTGCCCTTGGCTGGAAGCATTATGTTTCTTTATCATGCTCTCTGCAGTTGTTCATGACAGTACTTCATTCCATGGTTGTAACAATGTCTTATTATGAGACCAGTTGAAGTTATGTTTTAGTCAGTATTCTCTAAGCTTTACTTTTCTTTTCAACAAATGCATAATAATGTATAAACTCTGTAACTAATAACGCCATACCATTTTAACTGTATGATTTGTGGAATTAATTTTTAAGGGTACATATTTCACAATATGGTACTGCATACTGCATTAATTTGACACTCATTAGATGGCTATCATGAAAGAAAGAACAAGGGTGCATGTAATATAAGTAAAAAAAAGCAACTTTGTCAACCTTCTACAAGTACTCTGCTATCCAGGGTGGGTGGACACCAAGAGGTGGCTCAGAAGCTGCCTGAATTACTGACTGGTGACATGATCTGTGTGGATACTTTGCTTGATTTCTTGACATCAGCTTAAAAAGTTGTGAGTAGCTAACAAGGGTTTGCATGTTTAGACACTCATCTTCAGAAAGAAAATTTACTGAAGCTTAAATCTAAGCATGACTGGGAACTGCCAGCCAGCAGTGAGCTTTAAGGAAGGTAAAGAGGGAGGGAGTAATATGGAAAGAAACTACGAGTCTGATGATGAGGATAATTTTGATCTAGTCCTTTGCATACAGGCACCATATTAAGAAAGGAAAGAATTCATGTTCAATGGTTTCAAATCCTTCAATCCAGCACAAAAGTGTGGATTCAAGCTTACATAGACAAGAGCTCTTTGGCTCCTCCTGTGACAAGATGCTATGTGAGGTCGAATGACTCCAGTGAAGAGCAAAAGAAGGAGTGTCATTCTAGCAAAGAAATTTTTACTATGACATCTCTCTTGAGGGGAGATTTAATATTTTTCCTGGAAGAAAAATGCAACAATAAAACCTGTAAAGGGCAGCCTTAATTTTTGCTTGGCCAATTGTGTGAATTTGAATTTTCTAGACACCATTAGCAGAATGTTTGGAGCTGAGACAGTGGGTCGCTGCAGACAAAGCACTGCTAGCAATCAGAGATTTTTATGAATGTCTAATCATTTTACCTTGACTGTGTCCACTCATGGGGGGAAGTCATTAGAATTAACAACAGGAAGGCAGAGCCAGAAATACCCACAGCCTACATGCCAGAAGAGGAGTAATGATGTTTTGAACTGTCATACTTATCAATTCAGCTAGACTTAATGTATGCACGCTTAGGGCAGAGCTATGCCAGTCGTTCTTTTTGTAACATCACAAATAGGAAAGCATGTTTGATTTTCTTCCATGGAAAGGGACAGTTCTATCAAAAGTTTTGATATCTGAGATTTCTACAGCATTCCATCCCAAACAACTTTAGTTTGTTGGTATTGTTATAATGTGGGCACTTGAGTCCCCTCAGTGATAACAGTAGCAAACCCAGTACTGCGTTGCATACTAAATAAAAATTTAGCAGTATGAATTCACTTGAGTACTTGTCCATCATTGTCCGTTGTACCATTCATCATCCTCTTGATCTTAGTGGAGTCGATGCAGCCTGCTGCATACGTAGAGTCATCCAGTTCTAAAATTAATTTTATAGCTTTCTTCTTCCAACATTACACTCTCAACTAAAGCAAGTACATTTGATTCTTCTCTCATAGACAACAGGGGGAACTTGGAGTTAAACCAAAAAAGTTATTGTGTATAAAACATTGGTAAATGAAAAGAAAGGGAGAGAAGGACATTCATTTTTTCATTTTTATGTACAGAGAAGTGATTCTTCCTTCCTTCTTTTAGCATTTTTAAAAAATTACTATTTGTGTTAGCTGCCTTCTCTTTTTCTTTCTTTTCAAGTATGTCATTCCAGAACCACCTCTTTATCTCACTGGAGTGGCTATTTGTATTCACGGTAACCTCTGTTCTACAAAGAATGTCTTTTAAAGAATCTTTTATCACAAAGAAACAATTCTGCACAGTAAGAAAACACTGACACTTTCTTTATTTTTAACCCCTTTTCTTCAAACGTTTGCCTAAATGCTTAACCATGGGAAGGGCAAGGCTTGAATAATACAAAGAAGATATTGTGCCTCTTCAATTCAAGGACAGCATGCACACATAAAGGCTTAAAACTCTAAATCTGAAAGCGGCTGAAGCAGTGAGACATGATGAATTGATTTGGATAGTTCCAGAGTTCTGGATTGCCCATCCTGCCACCCCAGTGATTTTCTTAAGGACATTATTTTTCAGCCTGCCCTACTCGACATTCGGAACAAGATTCCTGGGAAGTTACCATCCCCAAAGCTACAACAGGTGACAGAGATTCCCCCCAGACTCCAACACCTGTGTCAGGTCTTTTTTTCGCTAGTTCACCTAGTTAAATCACCTCTAGTACGAGGAAGCTTAATTAATTCAACAATTTAGAATGGGTCCTAAGACCTCATTCTGTCTTCATATACAGTTGGACTTGATGTTCTTTGAGGTCTCTTCCAACCATAATGATTCTATGATTCTATGATTCATAAAGTGTAGTTTCAGGAGTCTCCTAGTGTAATTTCTTCTGTTAGTCAAGCCTTTTTCATTCAGAAATAACTCCACTTCTGTGAGCAGCTAGGTAATACGGTGCTGAGCGTGTCACATTTCCTCACAACTAGACTAGTTAGAATGAAAACGCTCCTCTGGGATATAGAGAAACCTATTCATCACCCTGAAAGAAAGAGCGTGGATTCCAGACCCAACATTTGAAAACACAGTGCAACACATTTAAGCCCTGAGGCTGTGCAAAAGGACTTCAGTGCCTGAATACTTATCCAGCATTGCTGAACTTCAGGTTTCACAGGAATGTTACAGTGAGCTGAGGCCGTTGTAGACAACAAATTCTGGAGATTTGGGGTAGATGGTGAAAAAGCTGTTATTAAGAATGATTTGCATTTTTTCTTCAAGACGTGCAAGATATGAAGTCATGCAAGAGATCAAGTTGTGGTGCATATTAGAAATCTACAAAGAGCTGTTTGTTTGGAAATATTTGGGCTTGCTACTTGTGACAATGCAGAACAGCTCCAGAGGAACTTGTTGCAAAGTGCATCACTCCATTCTAGATTCAAATCCTCTTCTTTTGTCTGCCAATTACTCTTCTCCTAGTTGTTTATGAACTTGATTTACTGGTATCAGTGACTGAGTGGCAGAGCTGGAATGAGAATTGGGACCTCTGTTCTCCTCAACCTGTCTGGCACCCTCTAGTCCATGCTTCTGGGCTGAGGCACTGCCTCCTGCGTGAAGACCTTCTGCTCCTCCAGGTGTTTTACAGGTCATTCTCCCCAGGCTTAGTTAGTACCCTACTCTGTCATGTGCAAGCTGAATCTTCAGGGAAAAGAAAGGCATCACTACCTGCTTGTTTTGTTGGAGAGCATCTCACCCCCTGCAAGAACCTTCCGGAGAGCCACCCAGGGGATCCAATAAGTTGGCTGAACTATCATACATGCCTAGTTTGTGGGAAATCCTCCTAGTTTCACAGACTAAAGGTCATTTGCATTATGAGGAAAGCTGGCAAAAGGCTGACCTGAGACTGAGTGAATCTCACCTGTGAGATCAGCTATTCCTTTAGAATGCCTTTTTATTTTTTTTTTCCCAAAATTCAGCATTTAAACAGTGATTTTTCTGCAGTGTGGATTTTGGAGTTTGAAAGGGACAAGAGGATTGCTGAAGTAAAGCTGGGAGATTGCTAAGAAAAAAATAATAATGATGATTGGCAACTCAGTTAATACATTTGAAAGTCAAGGCGCAGCTACTGAAGCATTAGCTCAAGGGAAAAAAAAAAAGAGATTCAGCACAGGAGTCTAGAGGATATACAAAAATCTTCAGAACAATCAGGATTTATGGATGCTTCATCTCCCACCTGCTGGCACTGGGAGTAAGGATCCACATGTAAAAGCCTCCAAAGTAATTTTAAGAATTAGTGAAGTGAAGCTGCATGTTGTAGAAAAGAGCTGAAGTTTGGTTTATGCCTAGAAGGCACCTGTAATTTTACTTTAAGGGGAGGTGGGTTAATCTCTTCCTTTTGCAGTTCTCGGCGCCGTGCCACTAATTCTAGCAACTCCAACCTCAGAGGCGAGACACTGTGGCTGGCATTGCGTAAAAGAAAGAAATGCACAGTGCTTGCAGAGGGACATGGGAAGGATGGTCACGTGATTAAGACTTTAGACTGGGATCCCAGAGCTCTGGGCCAAATCCCAGCTCTGCTACATACCCCTGTGTGGACTAATCAATGAATTTGCCTTGTCTCAGTACCCTACTATCAAATGGAGGCAATGAAGCTTACTTTCATTCAGCCACTGCCTGTTCTGTCCAGGTGGATGATAAGTGCCTTGGTATAGGGCTCTCTCCAGCTCAACAGAATTGCAATAGCTCACTCATTGGGCCTCTGGAGCATTTCACCACCATTGCATGACCTGCAATGAAGTAACTTCATAACATCTCGGGGACTGCATGCAAGTAATAAATTGCTAGTTAGGTAGTGCAAGCCCAGTTTGAACACGTAAGATTAGTGCTGCTTTCTAAGTCATGAGAGACATCCTCTATGGCAGGATTTTCAAACGTACCTAAAGTAGGTGCCAAACTTAAACATTGAAGCTCTTACTGTCTTGAACAGTAGCCTGGACCTTTAATGCTCTCCTGAACTGATCTGTCCTGTTTGCAGCATCAACTAAGTCACTTGCCATAGGAGACAGGATGAATAGTGGGCAGTCCATCTCACAGAAGAATGTAAGTCCTTGTGAAAGTCAGTA